TTCTACAACACACAGGACAGGCCCCTACGGAAAGAATTTTCCAGTCCAGAATGTCAGTAATGCTCAGGCTGAGCAATTCTGTCTTAACTGAATGTGGAGGCTGCCAAGGCCTTGAAATTCTGCATCCCTAACATGCTTCCTGGTGATGCCCAACCCTGCTAGGCCCACTTTTTGAGTGGCAAGGCAGAAGTTCCATTCTTTTGTTTTTGTTTTTTGTTTTTGCTATAGGGCACATACACTTGCTGGGAAGGAGAGAGTGACAGAGAGGGGAGGAAAGTGAGAAATCATCCCCCCGGGGGGATGGCCAAGCCACATTCCCTTCTCCTCCACTCTCCCCAGGATTTTGGGCATGCATGTGTACTCAGCATGATTTCCAAGCTTTGGGGTCCAGGGAGTCAGCCATGTGAAATCCACACTTTAACCATCAACGCCATCTGCTGGCTCCAGAAGTACCTTTTACAGAGCAACTCTACCTCCCAGGTACTGTCCTTTCCAAACCATATACATAGCAAAGCACAATCCCTCTAATTCTCACTTAACATCGGTCCACTATTGCCCCTATTTTCTTTCCAAGGAAATTGAAGCATTAAGAGATTAAGTAACTTGCCAAAGGTCACACAGCTTTTACGGATAGAGAGGGGATTCAAACCTAGACCAGATGGCTCCTAAGTCTGTTTTTAATCTGTCTGCCACACTGTCATCTCTCAGGTTCACAATATAAATATAGTTCAAGGTAAGCATTTGCTCACTGAATCACTTCATTAGACTTGATTCCTAATCACTGCCCTTGGATGGTTCATGAAAATCACACCACTGGGGAAGGACAAAGTCCAGGCAGTTCTGATAAGATTTAAAGAACAGGGACCAACAGTTGATATAATGGCTATGTCACTGGACTCCCATGTAGTTGATCACGGATTGAGTCCTGGACATGGTGGTGTAAACAACTCACGCCGAGCACATGTACGTGCATGCCCAAGATCCCAAGAGGAGAATGGAGGACAAGGGATTGAGGTGTGGCCAGTCCCCACTGGGGGATGATTTCTCACTTTCTATCTCTCTGGCAAGTGCATGTGCCCTATAGCAAAAACCTCTCAATAAAAAAAAAAAAAAAAAAAAAAAAGATTCAAAGAACACCCTGCCAGCTCAAGTTGTTCCCAAGGAATTTGTTGCAGGTGTAACAAGATGTCTCAGACTGTCAACACCTCCCCCTCTTCTGCCTCCCAAATATTATAAAATCAAAATTTCTGGGTGTGACCCCTGAAAACCTATATTATTAACACACTCTCATGCCTATTAGAGGTGAAAGGAGGGTAGTTTGATCGCACCTCCTGTGTTGGCTTCTGTGCCTTTGCTTAACAACCCAGCTCCTTTCAAGACTACAGCCTTTTCCTGGCTAGGAAGCAAAAGTCTCCTCTCCCATGTCCTTCCTCTTGAGCCTCAGGAGACAACTGACTACAGACATGTAAACTGGAGGAAGTCTCAGAGAAGCCAGTGCTGGGCACCTCTCTCTGGAAGCCCTACCGTACCTTCCTCAGTCCCTGGAGGGCAGAGTTTCAGGAGGGGCAGGTGATCTGGAAAGAGGTGGAGACTGCTTTTCACCTGCAGAAATAAAAAATGGGAGAGTCAGTCCAAGTCCTCTCTCTACTGAAAGGAAAAACCAGGATGATTCTTCTGACACCTAAGTCCTCCCTAAAGACTCAGTCCCCATGGTCCTCTCCCAAGAACCCAGAAGTCCAGCTTCCTCAGGATCCAAAATTGTAGTAGTACCCTGCTCTCTATACCCCCTTTCCCTAAGGTACTCTGTAGATGCAGGGTTGTTGTTGTTTTTTTCACTTTAATATTTTTAATAAATATATCATTGTACATACTTGTGGGGAGTACAATGCAATTTATTTCAGCTCAAGAATACAATGTGCAATGATGAAATCAAGACAATTATCAATAGCATACCTGTCATCTCGACCATTTGTCATTACTTGTGTTGGGAACATTCAAAATCCTCTTACAGTTACTTTGAGACACACAGCAAGTTGTTGCCATCCACATGCCCTCACTGCATTTTAGAACACTAGACATTGCCCCTCTTACCTATCGTTATTCCCATTAGTCAGCTCTTCCCCTCTATCCCCACCTCCCCATCCTTCCCAGCCTCTGGCAGTCATTCTTCATCCCTCTATGAGGCCATTTTTTTAAATTGCCACAGGAGGGACAATAGTTCTCCTTTCTAACCCTAGACTTCCGGGAAACTCCAGTCCCCTAGTTTACCTCACCATCAGGAGCCCCCCAAGTCCTCTCTGAACCCCCACGACCCCGGCTTCCTTAGCAACCTCAAAATCCACATACCCCCAATCCCAGTCCCGGACCCAGCCCCTAGCCTCCAGAGGTTCCCAAGACTTCGGCTCCCGGAATCCCAAACTCCCCACAATTCCCAAACCCTCACACCTCACCGATCTGCAGAAGCCCGAGGGGCCCTGCCGCTCTGCCTCCAGCACCCCAGCCCCTGGCTTCCGTTTAGCACAAGACCAACCCCAGGACCCGAGCTTCGGCCCCTCCCCGGGCCCCTGGCCCGTCAGCCCTTCCGACCCAGCCCTCCCGGAGGACCCGGCAGCACCTTCCCGGAGTACACCGGAATCACCGGCGCCTCCCCGGGATCCAGCAGCCGCCGCCGCCGCCTGACCGGGGCCCGCGGGGCTCCTGCGGGCTGCGCGTCCTCCACTTCGCTGTCACTGTCGCTGTCGCCCCGAGTCGCGGCCAGCACGGGGGGCTCCGGGGACGGGACCTCGACCGGCTCTGCAGCACCGCGCGCGGTTGTAACCTCCAGGATATCCTCATCGCTATCGCTGACCAAGTCCACAAACACTGACTCCAGACTAGGTTGGGCCGGAAATGGCTGGGCACGAGGACGCCGGCCCCGGCCGCCCCGAGCCCCTCGGCCCACACCGCCGCCCCGAGGCGGCCGGCCCCGTTTCCTCACAGGCTCCGCCATCGCAAACACCGCGTCTCCACACACGCCCGCCCCGATTCGCCCGGCCCCCGACCAGCGACTTCCGCTCTTCACTGGGCGAACAGCCTGCTAATCAGCACCTCTCCCCGCCCACACACGCTGAGTGCACCTCCCCGCCTTCTCATTGGTCACTGTGCCCGCCTATCTCGTATTCACCACTGAAACTAAGGCGCCAAAGATTCCAAGCTCCTCGGCGCAATCAGCGTGCGCTTCGTTTCCGCCCAGCTCACCCATTGGCCAGGCTTCCTCTCTTCCGACAAGCCAGCTCTCAGGCCCGCCCAACTGAAGAGAGTTGTCTTCCGGTTTGGTGGACTAGCGGGGCATCCTGGGAACTGTAGTCCTCAGCCCTAAGGCTGAGGATGACCTGCTCGTAAGAGCGTGTAGATTGCAGAATTAGACCTGAGATTTCACGGATACTCTAGTTGTTACCTCCTCAACCGAACAGTGGACATGAGTAATTCCACTCAACTCTACACATGCTCACTCATGTGTACCCTCCTTCACCCACATATCCCCCTTACAATGTCAACACAACATGCACCTGTTAAACACAGCGACATACACCTTAGTACATCTTTTAAAAATTTTCCATAAGACGCATGCGATCGCCAGAGAGAGACAGAGACCGAGAGAGACAAAGAAAATGAGAAAACAGTTCTGTCTTGGGCTGGGGAGCGGAATGACCGCACCACAATCCCTTCTCAGTTCTCCGTTCTTAGGATTTTGGACACGCAGGCACACGCGCCTCGTGTGTTTTTCAAGCTGCTGAGTCTGAGCCAAAACCACACATTCTGCCATATGGGATCCCACTGCCACCGGTGGCCCTAAAAGCAACTTTAAGGGCAAATTTAAAAATTGTTTTTAATAATAGTATTTATTTGTTTATTTTAGGTTTTGCTATAGGGCATATGCATTCACTGGAGAGAAGAGAGAGAGAAATCCGTGAGGGATGGCCCCGCAGCAACCCCTTCTTCACCACTTTTCTCTCAGAATTTTGGGCACACACACATGCAAGGTATATATATTTTTTTCTCTTTTTTCTTTTTCTTTTTCTTTTTCTTTTTTGGAGAGGTTTTTGCTATAGGGTGTGTGCACTTGACAAAAAGACAGAGAGACAGAGAGGCAGAAAGCAAGAAATCATTCCCCAGGGGGGATGGCCACACCTCAATCCCTTCTCCTCCATTCTCCTCTCCGGATCCTGGGCACTCACGCACACGCACCCAGCGTGAGTTTAAGCCACCGAGTCTGGGACTCGAACCGTGGTCAACTACATGGGAGTCCAGCGACATAGCCATTATGCTAAGTGCTGGTCCCGCAAGGTATTATTTTTTAAGTCGCTTGGTTGGATTCATGAAACGTGCAGTTGGCCATATGGAATCTATTCACCTTAACCTCCACACCACCTGCTGACCGACCCTAGGTCAAATACACATTAAAAATACGAGGCTTACTGGAGTAATCATAGAACGTTTAAGACTATGTGGAAAGTAATATGCTCCTGAACAACTCTTGTTCAAAGATGAACGTAAAGGAGAATATCTAAAGACAATTGAAAATGGAAACCAGCATATGAAAACGTATAGGATGCAGCAAAAGCAGTCTTAAGAAGGAAGCTTATAGCAATAAATGCCTGCATCAAAATAGAAAAAAGGCTCAGCTGTGGTGGCACGGGCAGTGAAGCACCATTGTCCAATGTTGGCACCATATGGGAGGCCCAGATTCAGACCTGGGTGGACCTGAACACCCTGGGTGCACACAGCGCACCCACGATCTTGGCTGGCTGCAGGATTAGTCACAATAGCCAGCATATGGAAACAGTCTAAGTGTCCATCAAAGAACGAATGGATTGTTTTAAGATGTGGTGTACATGTGGGGTAAGAGGGAGAGAATCAAGGAGGGGGGTGAACTCAGTAAAGTCATAGGATAAAAAAATGAATAAACGAAATTCAATTCTGTTTTTTGTTTTTGAGAGGTTTTTGCCTTAAGGTGCTAGCCCAAGAGAGAGAGAGAGAGACACACACACACACACAGTGAGAGGGGAAGTGAGAAATCACCAGGGGTGGATGGCCACGTTACAATCCCTTCTTCTCCATTCTCCTCCCAGGATACTGGGCACCCATGCACATGTGCCCAGCGTGATTTTTCAAGACATCAGGTCAGGGGTTCACACCATGGTCAGCCATGTGGGAGTCCAGCAACATAACTGCTATGTTATCTGCAGGTTGCTTCAATTTTTTTTAAATGTTTTTAGCAACGAACAATTGGAAATAAAAATTTGAGTCACCGCACCATTTATGTTAGCAACAAGACCCATGAAATACTTTGGGTTAAATCTAATGAAATATGAGGATTATCCGTATGCCAAAAACTATAGATATGATTAAAGAAAATAAAGATCTAAAGATAGAATAGATTAAAAATAAAAAAAGAAATGCAGCGTACACACTGCAATACTACTTGGCCTTAAAAAGAAGAAACGCTGGGAACCAGCAGTTAGCGTAATGGCTATGTCGCTGGACTCCCATGTAGTCGACCGCGGTTCGTGTCCCGGACCCGGTGGCTTAAAACTCACGCCAGGCGCGTGTGCGTGCATGCCCAAGATCCCAAGAGGAGAATGGAGGAGAAGGGATTGCGGCGTGACCATCCCCCCTGGGGGGTGATTTCTCGCTTTCTGTCTCTATGTCTCTGTCTGTCTGGCGAGCGCACACGCCCTACAGTGAAAATCTCTCAAAAAAAAAAAAAAGAAGAAACGCTGTCACTTATGACAACATGGAGAACCTGGTGGACGTTAGTAAAATAAGTCAGGCACAGAGGGTCCAATACCACTTATATCTGTAATCTATCAATAAAAATCTCCAACTGAGGCCAGCCAGGTGGCATAGTCGTTAAGATGGCTGGACCCCACACGGCCGACTGTGCGGATCGAGTCCCAGACCCGACAGCCTGAAAAAGGTGCCAGGTGTGTGCGTGCATGCCCAAAACCCCAAAGGGAGAAATACAGAAGGAACTGCGGTGTGGCCATCCCCTCCAGGGGTTAATTTCTCACTTTCCCTGTCTCTGTCTCTTTCTCTCTCTGTCTCTTTCCAGCAAGCAAATGCACCCTACAGCAAACAAAACAAAACGAAAATAAAACTCCAACTCATTGAAGAAGAGAGTAGAGCGGTAGTAACCAGAGGCTGAGGAGGAGAGTAGACGATGAAAGAAATGTCGAAGTACAAAGTAGTTTGTGCAACTGTACAAAGTTACAGTTAGACAGGAGGAATAAGTTGAGGTATTCTATTGCACAGCATGGCGACTGTAATTAATAATAATGTATTGGTAGGGTCGGCAGGTGGCATGGTGGTTAAGGGTGCTGGCCTTACACATGGCCAACCATGGTTCTAGTCCCGGACCTGGCGCTTACTTTCTTACTTTCTATCTCTCTCTCCCTCTCTCTCTCTCTCTTTAGTCAAATTAAAATAAATAAAGCTAGGACCAGCAGTTGGCGTAATGGCTATGTTACTGGACTCCCATGTAGTCGACCACAGTTCAAGTCCCAGACCTCGTGGCTTAAACTCACACTGGGCACGTGTGTGTGCATGCCTAAGATCCCGAGAAGAGAACAGAGGAGAGGGGGATTGTGTCGTGGACATCCCCCTGGGGGATGATTTCTCACTTTCTGTCTCTCTGTCTCTCTCTGTCTTTCTGGCTAGCACATGCGCCCTATAGCAAAAATAAATAAATAAATAAATAAATAAAAGCAAACAAAGCTAAATAAAATAATTATTTTTAAAAATAATAACAATGGGACCAGGAGTTGGTGTAATGGCTATGTCGCTGGACTCCCATGTAGTCGACTGCAATTTGCGTCCCGGACCCAGTGGCTTAAACTCACGCTGGGCACATGTGCGTGTGTGCCCAAGATCCCAAGAGGAGAATGGAGGAGAAGGGATTGAGGCGTGGCCATCCCCCAGCGGGGGGTGATGGTGGTGGTGTGATTTCTCACTTTCTGTCTCTCTGTCTCTCTCTGTTTTTCTGGCAAGCACAGGCGTCCTATAGCGAAAACCTCTCCAAAAAAATTAATAATAATAATAATGATGCATTGGCTCAACATGGGGTGTAAGGTGGTGAGGCACTGCTCCAGGATGCTGAGCTGTAGGGAGGTTTGCCTGTGATCTTGGTTAGCAGCAGCATTTCGGAGAGGATGACAGTGTGACCAGATCCTGTTGGGGTTCCCTGCCCCATTCTCTCTTAGGAAGTATGGTTTATTCAGTTTTTTTTAATGATTTATTTATTTTATTTCATTTATTATTAATACTACTATAAGTTTTGCTATAGGGTACATGTGCTCACCAGAGAGAGACAGAGAGAGAGAGGAAAAGTGAGAAAGCAAGCCAGTCTGGGACTCAAATTCGCGGTCAGCCATGTGGGAGTCCATAGCCTAAACCACCATGCCACCTGCTGACCCCAGAAAATATGCTTTAAAACAATAATTTTATGGACCAGCAAGTGGTATGGTGGTTAAGGACACTGGACTCCCCCATGACTGACCACAGTCCACCTCCTGGCTTGCTTTCTCATTTTCTCTCTCTCTCTCTGTCCCTCTCTTGTCAAATTAAAACAATTAAATAAAGCTAAATAAAATAATTCTTTTAAAATAAATTAATAATATATTTCAAAATAGCTGAAAGATTTTAAATGTTCTCACCACACAGACATGATAAATATTTGAGGATATGCAAGCTATCCTGATTTAATCATTCCATAATGTACTGAAAAATCACATTGTACCCCTTAAATTATATACTTATTGTCAATTAAAAATAAAATAAAACAGGACCAGCCAGTGGTGTGGTGACTGAGGCAGGTGGAGTCCCAGATTCAGAAGCTAGAAAAACATGCCGGGCTCGTGTGTGTACATGCCCAAAACCAAGGTTTGTGCCTCCTCGCTTTCCCTCTCTCCATCCCTCTCTGGTAAGCATATGCACCCACTGGCAATTTTTAAAAAATTAATTAACTAATTAATAAAATAAAATAAAACAAAAAGAGGCTTAATTATCCCTGTTGAAAACAAAGACATTCCTTTCCCTCTGTCTCTTTCAGAATTTATCTTTCTGCCCTTTCAAATACACATGGCTTATTGAGCCTTTACAAACAACCCGCCTCCCCACTAAGGTCAGTTAGGTAACTCAGGTGGTCTCCCCACTCACCCAGGTAAAGTTAGCAATGAACTGCTTGACTACTGGTGTTATGGAGCCATCCTATTTGAGGACTAGCTATTCTTTATCTGGAAAAAAATAATGTGAGTTTTTAAATTCTATCTTGAAAACATGAGAATGGCTTGTCTCTGCTTAGCTAAGATTTCTTTCTGCCTTTGCAATGTTTTGGTAGACTGCCTGTGACGCTTATTCACTAATAAGATTGTGGGACTGGCAGGTGGCGTGGTGGTTGAAGATGCTGGATTCCACATGGCCGACCATGGTTCAGGTCCTGGACCTGAAGGCTTGCTTTTGCGCTTTCCTTTCTCTTTTTCTCTCTCTGGTCAAATTTAAAATATAATAAATGGAATTAAATAAACAATTCTTTAAAAAGTAAAATAAATGATAAGATTGTTCTCTGTCTTTACCACCTTGTGGAGAGGTTTTCTGGGTTGGGAGAATTTGTTTTTTAAAAGACTATTTATTTTAATTTTATTTATTATTATTACATATATATATACATATATATATATATGTATATATATATTAATTTGCTACAGGACATATATGTTCACCAGAGAGAGAAAGAGGGAAGTGAGAAAGTAAGCCACTATGTCCAGGACTTAAACCACAGTCGACCATATGGGAGTCCAGCACCTTAATCACCATGCCACCTGCTGGCCCTGATTTTGTTTTTTAATTATATTTTCCCAACACCTCACATGGACAGTATTATGCATCTAAAAGACTAGATATCTTCCACACATCTGTTGAAATCACAAGTCCTGCACAACACAACCAACACAACAGAACACACCCCCTGGACACTTCACACCACATTTCGCCTTCAGTTGTAGAACCCCCAACACCTCGCACTACACATCCCACATTGCACTTCACACATGATGCCCACACAGCCCACGCCCAAGACCATGTTCCTCACACACAAGCGAGGTTCTTACAATTTGCACTTCACATAACACCAGAGCAGCACCTTGACCACCACCCACATCCATCCCCTATACCTTCACCACCACCAGCACCCTGACACCTCACACACACACCTCCAGGCAGCCAGCCTGCACCTCAGATCCTCCGTGCAGACTCAGCCCAGGTCAAGACCAAAGACACACAGCCTCCAGCAGGTGGGGCTGTGTTCCAGGGAACAAAGGCTCCTGGGCTCTGACAGAGGGAGGCCCAGGACTACCCAGCCCCAAAAGACCTAGGATCCCTCTTTGTAGTGGGGTGGAGCCATAGAGATTGTGCCAAAAGCCTCTGGCAGCCTCCGTCTGGGAGGCCGCTGCAAATCAGAGAAGCAGGGGGTGACCACCGTAAGGGCCTGAAACTTCCCTCAAGCCTCCTTTCCCAAACTCTTCTTCAAGAACTGCAAGTGGGGGCTAGATAGTGGCACAGTGATAAAATGCAGTGCTCTGCGAGGCAATTCCACACAAGAAGGTTCCACGTTCAGGCCCAGAGAGCTCCCTGAGTGTACTGGGCACGTGTGTGCCCATATGCAGCTGGCTGAAGGCTGGGGGTGTATCACAGTGTAACTGTTGGGGGAACTCTCTTCCTCTGTCTCAGAAGAAAGAAAGAAAGGAACTTAAATTTAAAATGAAAGTTTTTGGGGGCCAGCAGATGGGGTGGTGGTTAAGGTGCTAGACTCCCACATGGCCAACCGCGGTTTGAGTCATAGCCATGGCAGCTTGAAAATCACACTTGGCACGTGTGCATGCATGTCCAAAATCCCAGGAGGAGAAGGCATAGTGGCATGGGAAAATCACTTCCTTTGGGGAGTGATTTTTCACTTTCCCTCTCACTGTCTCTCTCTGCCTCTCTTTAAGGAGCACATGTGTCCTATAGCAAAAATAATAATAATTTAAAAAATAATAATAACAAAAACCTTTTTAAGTTTGTGTGTGTTTGTTTAGTTTGAGATAAGGTGCATGCACCCATCAGAAAGGGAGAGAGAGAGAGAGGAGGAAGGGGAGAAAACATCCCCCAAGGGAGATGGCCACGTCCTTCTCCTCTGTTTTCCTCTATGGAATTTGGGCACATATATACATGCCTCCAGTGTGCTTCGCAAGCTGCCAGGTCTGGGATGTGAACTATGCAGTCAACCATGTGGGATCTAGCTACCTTAACGACCGTACCAGCACTCCTTTTCTTCCCACTCAGTTCCTGGGATCCTGAGATTTGCCACCACCCCTGGTTGGGAGCCTGGGGCACAGAGAAAACTCTGACATGGATCCAACCTCAAGAAAGCAGGATGTTGGGGGCCCAGCAGTTAGCGTAATGGCTATGTCGCTGGACTCCCATGTAGTCGACCACGGTTCGCGTCCTGGACCCGGTGGCTTAAAACTCACGCCAGGCGCGTGTGCATGCGTGCCCAAGATCCCGAGGGGAGCATGGAGAAGGAACTGTGGCATGGCCAACCCCCCTGGGGGGTGATTTCTCGCTTTCTGTCTCTCTGTCTCTCTCTGTCTCTCTGGCAAGCGCATGCACCCTATAGCAAAAACTTCTCAAAAAAAAAAAAAAAGAAAGAAAGAAAGAAAGAAAGAAAGCAGGATGTCATCAGAGTCACAAGCACAGACGCATCAGGCACAGGCAGGAAAGCAAAATGAAGCAGACTGGCTGAACGGTCACAGGTTTAGACGGGGATTAGGGCAACGGGAAGGGCTGATTGCAGCTGAAGGGTAAAGCGGAAGATTATGGCACCGTAAGAGCCGGGGGTGGGGCCAGATCTAGAATTTTTTAATTTTATTTCTTCGGGGGTGGGGGTGGACACCCCCCAAAGAGTTTTCACACTATGATGCACCCCTGTCTCAGCAAGCCAAGATCACCGTGCCTGGGGTACTCAGGGAGGTCCTGAGATAAGAACCCAGACTGTTCCCAAGTGAGTTCAGTTGCATCAACACTGTGTAACTGCCTGCCAGCCTCCCCTTTTTTTGGGGAGGAGGGAGGTTTTTGCTATAGGGCGCTTGCGCTCGCCAGAAAGACAGGGAGAGACAGAGAGACAGAAAGCGAGAAATCACCCCCCAGTGGGGAAGGCCACGCTGCAATCCCTTTTCCTCCATTCTCCTCTTGGGATCTTGGGCACGCATGCACACATGCCCAGTGTGAGTTTAAGCCACCAGGTCTGGGACTCGAACCGCGGTTGACTACATGAGAGTCCAGCAACATAGCCATTATGCTAACTGCTGGTCCCTCCGCTCTTTTCTGCCACAGAAACTTGTATTCGAGATCATAACCCAAAGAAATGTTCGAAGTTCAGAACTTAAGCCCTCAAACATAAAATTTTTTAAGAGTTTTTTAAAAATAATGATTTATTTAATTTTATTTATTCATTCATTTATTTTAATTTGACCACAGAGAGAGAGAGAGAGAGAAAGACAGAGAGAGAGAAAGTGAGAAAGCAAGCCACCAGGTCTGGGACTTGAACTGTGGTCAGCCATGTGGGAATGTCCAGCACCTTAACCTCCACGCCACCTGCTGGTCCCCAAACACAAAATATTAATGAAAGGAGTTTTTTTTTAACATTTATTTATTTAGCTATTTATTTCTCGTGATTTTTAGGCCACTGGCTGCCAGTTGGCCACGTGGCAGGCAGTCCAGCGCCTCGACCACCATGCCACCTGCTGGCCCCTTGTTTTGTTTTCAGTTTGCTACGAGGCACATGCATTCACCGAGAAGAGACAAAGGGAGAAATAGGGAATGTGAGAAATCACCCCCAGGGTGGATGGCCACACTGCAATCCCTTCGTCTTCATTCTCTTCTTAGGATTTGGAGCACACATGCACATGCGGCTGGTGCATTTTTTCCAGCCACCAGGTCAAGCCATCAGGTCTGAGACTCCAACCATGCTGTCAGCTCTGTGGGATTCAGCTGCCTTAACCTCTGTGCCACCTGCTGGTCGAAGAATAATTATTTTTTAAATTTAATTTAATTTTAGAGAGAGATTTTTGCTATAGGGCACAACTCGCCAGAGAGACAGAGAAACAGAAAGTGAGAAATCACCCCCTCCCCCAGGAGGATGGCCACGCCACAATCCCTTCTCCTCCATTCTCCTTTTGGGATTTTGGGCACACATGTACCTGTGCTGGGAGTGAGTTCTAAGCTACCGGGTCTGAGACTCAAACCACGATCAACTACATGGGAGTCCAGCAACATAACCATTACACCATCTGCTGGTCCCAAATAATTACTTTTTTAAATAGCTAAGTTCAAAAGCAAGACAGACTCTTCTTGGTGCCAGAAATAAAGATGGAACTCAAAGCCACAATGATAAGAGTGAAGTCAAGTCGAGCAGCCCATGGGGATGCTAAAACCCCTACAATTGGGCTTTTATAACCACATAGGGACAGAGGTCCAGGCTAAAGCCCCAGGAATAGCAGGGAGCTGAAACTGAACTCCCCGGAAAATGCTGGGAGCTGAAAAGAAGCTGTCTCTTTTGGGAACAGAAAGTTGCGGGGCGGGGGGGGGATCCTTCCTCAGGCCTGCTACGCAAGATGGAAGCAAGCCATCCAGCAGGCGGCGATGGCCAAAGCCGTCGTGGGCAGAGTCCCAGAGTATACCAAAGTATGGAGCTGGCTGGCCTCAGACCAAACCTCTGTGCAAAAACCTGATCTGAGAAACTCATGAATAAAATGGTTAGAAACCTGTGTAGCCTGTAAGACTGTAACAGAAGCCAAAGCAAACTGGCCCCCAGGGTATCAGTGGGGCCCAGGGAACTCATGGGACTTTTACTGGCAGGAGAAACACCAAGTCAAAGAAACCTCCTCTGGTGACACCATGATGCCAGGGGAAATTCACAGCCTTGTACATGAGAGTAACCACACCATGCCTTCTATCTGAGGCTACTTGGTAACTGGGGAAGCTGAGAGAGAGGTAAAGTTACCTAAGGTCAGTTAGCTACTGAAGGATTTAATGTAAATGCCGATAAAGTATGTTTTAAATGTTTCAAGACAGGGACCAGCAGTTGGCATAATGGCTACATCGCTGGACTCCCATGTAGTCGACCATGGTTCAAGTCCCAGGCCTGGTGGCTTAAACTCATGCCGGGCGTGTGTACGTGCGTGCCCAAGATCCCAAGAGGAGAAAGGAGGAGAAGGGATTGCAACGTGGCCATCTCCCCGGGGGGTGATTTCTCGCTTTCTGTCTCTCTCTGTCTTTCTGGCTGGTGCATGCGTCCTGCAGTAAAAACTTGTCCAAAAAAAAAGGAAAGCAAAAAAAAAAAAAAAGTTCCAAGACAAAGGACTCTAAAACAAAACCAGGATGTTGTGAAAGAAAGAACTGGTACATCAAGAAAAATAATTTGAGAAATAAAAATATAAATACAGAAAAATGATAGTCTTAGAGCACTAAACTTTCTTGAGTGGGAGAGACTGCTTTTCAGATGCCAGTCCTGGGTTTCAGGAGACCACTGAAGCTGGCAATGCTGGTGGCAGGGGGACCAGGAAGAAGACACTAGGAATAGGGCTGGTCCCACAGTCTATGGGTGAAAGAAGCTGGATCACACACAACTGACCACAGTTTGAATCCTGGCCCTGGGGCTTAAAAAACACCAGGCACATGTGCATGCATGCCTAAAATCCCATCAGGATGGAGGGAGGAAAAGGGATTGCTGTGTGATCATGCCCCATGAGGAACGAGAGGGGTGCTTTCTCCTTCTCTCTCTCTCTCTGATGAGTGCACATGCTCTCTGGCAATTAAAAAAAAAAGACACTAACAATATCTGGATATAATGGAATTTGCAACACAATGGTTTCAGGGGCTAAAGACTTTTTAGTCTAGGTGTTCGTGGTTTATACCAGGAATAGGCACGGTTTGTGTCAGGTGGTAAGGCATGGCAACTACGCCTGCAGCTAGATTTCCGGATTCACATCCAGCTCTGAGAATTGCCAGCTGTGTGACCACAGACATCGTCTTAACGTCTCTGACACTCAGTTTCCCATCTATAACATTGTACCTAGAAGGGAAAGTGTCCAGACTAACTATAAACTCAGAAGTCAATGGTCAGAAGGCAAAGCCTGACCCTGCTGCTTATTGACCAGACAAGCCTGGGGCATGTTATTTAACCTCTCTGCCTCAGTCTCTTTAGCTACAAAACAGTGATAATAGCATAGTTGTCCCTAGGTACGTCCAGGAGATAAAGCAGCATAGTATCCGCGTATCACCTGCGTACATCCTCCCATAGACGGGAAGCCATCTCTCCATTTGTCGTAATGCCTACTACAATGTAAATGTTTGTTATAGTGTAGTGGTTTGTTGTTGTTATTGTCGTTGTTAGAGAGAAATTTTTGCTATAGGGCACATGTGTTCACTGGAGAGACAGGACAGAGAGAGAGAAAGTGAGAAATCACCTCCCAGGGGGGTTGGCCACACTGCAATCCCTTCTCCATTCTCTTCTCAGGATTTTGGGCACACACACACATGCACCTGGCGTGAGTTTTAAATCACTGGGTCCAGGACTCAAACTGCAGTCGATTACATGGGAGTTCAGTGACGTAACCATTATGCCATCTGCTGGTCCCTGTTATACTATAGCTTTTATTTATATAATTTTTTCTTAATTTATTATTATTATTATTATTTAGTTTGCTGTAGGATTTTTGCTATGGGACAGTCCCTCTGGCAAACTGAAAAAAAAAAAAAAAGTGGATATTCAATAAATATTCCATGTTGATCGAGGATGTTTCTAACTAGTCTGCAATTCTTAGACTGTTACTGTTTGCTTGCACCCAGCTCCCCACTGCTGAATGAATGAAGACTGAATGACTGGGTGGTGGGAATGTGGCTGATGACAAGACCGGTGGGTGATAGGCAAGTGAGAGAAAGGGGTGAAGGCCAGGCCACCGGAAGGAAAAGGTCCTGCTGGGGGTCAGGGGTGCAGACCCCCTTGCTCCACAGAATTAAAGAAGGGACAGAAGTGTCCCTATCCTCCACCTTCCTCCCTTCCCACACAAGGGCGCTACTTCATAGGATTGAAGAGCTCACTGAGTTTATTTGGGGACCACAAGACGGGAAAGTTTCACTTGCTCATATACACACATGCACGCATGCACGCACACACATCCTGAACTGTGTTGCTCCAGAGGTTGACACTGTCTGCCTGGGGTCTCCAGACTTCACAGTCAGATGTGGGTCTTGGGGCCTGAGAAGGCCCAGGTTATATAGAAGAAATGATGATGGGGAGGGGTCCAGGATGCCTCACCTTGCCCCTAGGTCCTGGGAACACTTTCCCCTCTCCCTCCCGGACAGCCAGCACCCACCACTGTCCCTGCTTATCACCTCCTTCTTCCCTTTCCCTAGGCTCAGTTCCCAGCTCACCTGCTCACTGCGGGTTACCTGGTGCTCCAGGTCCCCATGTGGTCCGCTCCTCCCCATGCTGGTTCCAGTCCCTCAGGATTATCCATGTTCTCATAAGAGTCTGCATCTGGATAGGACCAGGAAGAGTAAAACACAGGCAGGGCTATGGGTGGGCTGGAGCAGCAGTAGCCCGGAGGATAGCAGGAGCAGGAGCAGAAGCACCCACCTTCCTCATGACTGGGACCGGGCTGGCCTCGCAGCGAGAGGAGCTGGGGGGCTGCATACAGGATCCCTCTCATATCCTCATAGGACTGGGACCCTGCAGGGGACGGAGACTTGAAGGCCCTAGAGCCATGCTGGGGATTGGGAAGGGCAGTGCAACCCACACGGGGCACAGTCTGTGGGCAGGCGAAGATGGCAGGCTTGACCCAGGTGGGACTAGGCAGGAGTGGTCAGGTCAGCATCAACTTCTGGGCTCTGGTTCTTTGTAAATCTGGATTAGGTATGGGTAGACTAGGGTCATGGCCAGAGAGAGGGTCAAGAACACAGTTGGAAGGAGTCAAGGCCAGACAGTGAGCACATCGGAGAGAAAGCCCGTGTGAAGGCTGAGGCCTGCATCAGGTCTCGGTCAAGTGCAGACGAAGTGGACTGGAAAAGTGCTGGTATTCACAGTTAGGGATGGTGTGAATCTGGGGGTTGGGATTGGGATGGCGTCAGTGCTGAGGTCAGAGTTATGATTCAAATCTAAGGTCAAGTTTAGGCTTAGGCTTGGGCTTGGGGTCAGACTCAGGTCCAGGATGGGCCTCGTGTCAGAGCTGAGGCCAGGTCAAGCCCAAGTTGGGCACCACAGGCTGGTCCCAAGCGTTTCTCACCAAGGGAGGTTGCTTCCCGGCTGGGGTCCCAGGTAGACCCATGGGGGCTCAGGAAGTCTGGAGAAGGAAGAGAGAAGTCACGACTCTGGCCTCTAGGTCTCACTACCACCGTCTGAAATGTGACCAGCCTCACACCCACCTATTGTCTTGAAGACTGGCTGGGCCAACTCTTCATCCTCGTTCTCATAAGACTCAGCGGCTGCCATTAGAAAGAGCTTCAGGATCTCTCTCTCCGCTAGGGGCTCCACTGCGCCGTGGATCCTCCCAAATTTCCGAGGCCCGACAAGGACCCCAAATTACCGTTGGAGAAGGAGTCTTCATCCTCAGGATCCACGGGCCCGTCCTCGGGGTTCTCATAGCCACTGCCATCTGGTGGAAAAGGAGGGGCGTCCAGCGAGGGTCCAGAGACGACCGCTGAGATGGGAAAGCATGGGGCGGGGCGCTTACCCTGGGAGAGTTGGTCCTGCCCCAGGTTGGAGTCGTTCTCGTAGAACTCAGAACCCTCCTCACTGTCCGGCTCTTCATAGGCCTCCCCGTCCACTTCTAGGCTTAGAGGTTTGGGGATGGGGTGAGTAGGAAACCGGGTGAGGGACCCCAGTCCACTAGTCTTGCCAAAGACGGTCCCAACACCCTCCATGCGAAGAATAGAACACCCCCTGCGCCCTCCTCCAGCCTCATTCACCCTCTCCTGGCGCGCTCCCGGATCCCGCGGCTCCAGCCTCCTGGACATCGCTGCGCGGGTTTCCGTAGGACAGGGTGGTGCCCCCTAGGCCTGCCGCCCAGCGCAGGGCACGTCCTGGCGAGAGGGGCGTTGTCATGTGGAGTCAAAAGAGATCGGGCGGTCAGGGCTAAGCGTCCGCGCGGCGGGATGAAGGAAAGAAGATGCTCTAGACACTAGGTACCCGGTCTTGAGCTGTGGGGTGTCTAGGTCTAGGGGCGTGGCCCCAAACTCTGGGGCGGGGTTATTTTAGAGGGACTCCGCCCCCTGGAGGCGGAGCTCCGAGATCGGCAAGGCTTGACACTCAAGAGATTGGAGGGATAAGGACAATGGGTGGAGCGCCAGCTCTGGGGCGGGGTCATAGGTTGGAGTGGCGCCTGGGTCAGAGGCGGGGCGGTGCTGCTAACCGGTGCCGGAGGTGGGCGTGGGAAGGGATAGCACGTTCCCGTACTGGTTCTGGGCCCCGTTTCCTGGAGGTGTCACTTTGAAGAACCTGGCAGGAGAAAGGGAGGCACTGTGAGGCCAGGCCTGGAAGGGACAGCGGGACACACTCGGCCTCCAGAGGTTAAACGTGATTAGCTCCTCTGTGCTGGGACTGCCCGTAGAGGAGTCTGGGATCCCTCTGAAGAGATCTTCGCGGAGGAAGTAGCTTTGAGGATGGGCATTATTTCAACTGGTAGAGATGAGCAAAGACGCTCTGGGCAGAGGACACAGTGCAAAGCATATAATGAAAGTGTGGGGAGGAGTTGGGGGGCATTTGCTGCATTACCTCCTGGTGGGGTCAGTCATTCGCTTTCTTTTCCTCCTCTGTTTCAGGGCTGGTGGGAGTTAAGGAAAGTGATGAGAGAAGGGACTGCATAGAGGAATGAGGATTTAGGGGGTGCTAGGGAGTTCTCTTGGGTCAATAGAGGAGAAAGGAGTTCAAATCCCAAGGGGCTTGGGAAATTTGAGGAGGATAGGGGAAGAATGAGTGGCAAAGTTCAGGGGTGCTTGGGGGAGGGATAGGAGAAGAGAAGGATGGACGTCAGACTGGCCAGTGTGTGCTTATCCTGAGGAAGACTGGGTAATGTTGAGCAGACCAGCGGGGGGGCATGACTCACCTCTTTGAAGATGAAGAAAGCCACACAGGGAGCTCAGGCAGAAGATGAGATAAACCAAAGTCACGACTGGGACTATCCAGCCACGAGTCCTCAGCAGCCAGCGCAGTACTGCTGGGGGGAAGGTCTATGAGACGGTGACCCCAGTCTGGCATCTAACCTTCCAACCTCAAGACCCAAAAGGACTGTAAGTCTTGGGGGCAGGGACAAGACACAGACTCAAAGTCCCAGCCTATGAGAAAGACTCTCCTCCTTCCCTTTAAGGAGTCATGTCCCAGAAGGATAAGGACAGTGCCACAGAGCCTGGCACAGGGCATGAGACAATTTGCTCTGTGGTACGGTCCCTATTCTCCTGGGACATGGCTCCTTAGAGGCAGGAGAGCCCTCCTCATAATCCCAACAGCCGATCAGAAGTGGTGTTAGTATTGGGGAGTGGAATGGTCAGCTTCGTGCTGCAGTTGGAGACATTGATGGTCAACCTGAAGGGTAGAGCTGGGTTCACAAGGTTAGAACTGGGATGCAGCATGTTGCCAACTTCAAGTCTGGAGTGAAAGTTGAGGCCGAGATTGAGAACTGTGGTTAGGGTGGCATGGTGGGATTGTATTAAGGAGACAGAAAGGGACCCAGGTGGATGGAGCAGTCTGCAGTGCACTGAGCTGCAGTGCTGGAAGCCACACGGCCCACTGCAGGTTCAGATCCCCAGCTCAGCCTGACACACACTGGGCATATGTCCCCCAGATCCTGCTGAGATGAAAGGCTGAGGGAAGGGGATCACGGCATGGTAGGACCCTGTCAAGGGTCTCTCTCTCTCTCTCTTCCTCCCTCTCTTTTTTCTCTCTGTTTGCTTTCTCACTTTCTTATGCACACATGTGCTATCTATCATAAATAAAATAAGTAAACTTGAAGGAATAAAAACCGAAAGAGAGACAGAATGGCCAGTGTAATGGATGGGTGAAGAAGAGAAAGGATCCGCAGGCTCCTAGCTTGGGCAGGTGGGGGTATCCTTCACTTATGCGGGGCCACCCAGAAGACTGCTTTGGGAAGATGATGAGTTTGATTTTGCATATGAGCTCAAGGTGTCCATGGGACGTCAAGGGCAATTCCTGGAGATGGCTGTGTACGTGGGGTACGGAGCCTGGAATAGAGTCACCAAGGCATGGTGACCAAGGAGCCATGGGAATAAAGGGAATCAAACGGGCGGAGTGGGAGCCAGCAGGTGGTATGGTGGTGAAAGAACTGGACTCCCACATGGACAAGCATAGTTCGAATCCCGGGCCTGGTGATTTGAAAATCACACCCAGGTGGGACCAGCAGGTAGCTTAAACTCACGCTGGGCGCGTGTGTGTGCATGCCCAAGATCCCAAGAGGAGAATGGAGGAGAAGGGACTGCGGCATTGCCATCCCCCTAGGTGATTTCTTGCTTTCTGTCTCTCGTCTCTCTGTGTCTTTCTGGCAAGCTCACATGCCCTATAGAAATAAAAAAACCTCTCAAAAAAAAAGAATAAAAAAAACGCCTTAAAAAAAAAAAAAAAAAGAAAGAAAGAAAGAAAGAAAAAAAGAAAGAAAGAAAGAAAAAGAAAAAAAGAAAATCACACCAAGCATTTGCTTGTACATGCCCAAAATCCCAGGAGGAGACTGGCAGAGAAGGGATTGCAGCATGACCATCCCACTAGGGAGGTGATTGCTCACGTTCCCTCTCACTGTCTCTATCTCTCTGGTGAGCACACATACCCTGGCAAAAAACTTACAAAAGAAAAACAGATGATCAGGGTGTACTGACAGGGATGAGAAAAGGGTTCAGGGCTCCAGCAGGAAGGAGTGGGAAGCTGGGGTTCAGGATGAGCTGGTACTAGCCCTCAGGATGGAGATTCAAGACTGATCAGCTGCTAGTTCTTCCCAGTAGCCCTACATAGGTGCCCCCCAGTTGGGAGAAACTCTACCTGACCGGGCTGTGACCTTCACATGCATCTCGATGGTCAGGTTGCCATAGTGACAATAATAGGTACCAGCATCTTGAGCTGTGGCCTGGGGCAGCAACAGAACAGCCCCTCCTTTGAGGGCCCCTAGGACCCACATATCCCTGGCAGGGTGATCCTCCTTCAGGTCTAGCTTCAGCAATGAGATGTTAGGCTTCTTCGGGTGCACACGGGTCCAGGAGATGGGGCCTCTGGCCACAGAGGCAGGGGACACCCCACAGGACAGCCAGAGGGTGGAGCCAGGAGCTGCAATGAGGTCTGGGGCAAAAGAGACAAGGCTAGGAAACCCAAACCCTTGGGGTCTCATCCCTCCAAAGCCCTCCAGTTTCCAGTCACCATCCCTGGATGGCAGACCCTCACTTCCTGGCACCTCGCCAGCACTGTCACCTTACCTTGGGTGAGGCTCTGGTTCAATCCGCCCCTAGATGGGACACAGGCAGGCTCTGTCTCCCAGATCTCGGGTTTGTCTTTGGCCCATACATACAGCTGGGAGCTGGGGGGGTAGCCTGAGGAGGGCCTGGGGGCCTCTGAGGACCTGTTCTCCAGGTCACAGCGAGGGTCAGCGAGGTCGGAAGCATTCCACCGGAACAGCTCCTCTGAGAAGGAGACCCAAACCAGACACAGAGACATCCAGAAGAGAATGATGCAGAGACCCAGGAAGGTAGAGACAAATGGAGACGAAGACCCAGAGAGAGAGAGACAGAAACAGTGACTTGAACAGAGGGAGAAGAGCATGAGACAGAGACATACAGAGCTGCTCAGCGTTGAGGCCACAGGCCCGCCCGCCTGAAACCAGCCGCCCCCCCAGCCCCTCCAGCCCTCCGTGCAGCCCCACTTGGCCACTGCACCTCCTCTGTCCGTGGAAGGCCCTCCTCTTCTCATCCAGCACCCCCCTCCCAGCCCGGCCTGGCCCAGCCCTCACCGCTGCCCTTCACGCTGACCGTCCAGCCAGGCTGCCAGGCCATCTTGGAGGGGGGCCCTGACTGGCACAGGTAGAAGCCCCCCATCTGGTCAGAGACGTTGAAGAGGAGCAGCAGGATGCCCAGGGGCCCCACCTGGATGCCCAGGTCTTGTGACCCCAGGCTCAGGTTTAAGAAAGGTGTTGACAGAGACCCCCGATACCAGGTCAGCTGCTCAGGGGGATCACCAGAGGGATTCCCAAGGCACGGCAGTATGGCATTGGCTCCCTCTGTGGAGAGAGAGAGGGGTGCTCTGAGCCCCTGTCGCTCCTCACACTGGAGCAGAAACCCAAGGACCCCACAAGCTGGGGGTGGGCAGGCCCTCACAGTCCTCCCAACTCCCATCCAAATTTCACAAATCAGAAAATGGAGGCTCAGAGAGGGTAAGTGACCCAGCCAAGGGCACCCAGCCAGAACCTAGGTTTCCAGCTGCGACTCCTTCCCTCTCTGCTTTCAGACATACCTTCTGTCTCCACCAGCAGTGGCTTCTGGGGACTGACTCCCACCAGGCTGAGGAAGAGGAGGAAGAGGAGAAGGAGAGGAGGCGGCATGCTGGCCGGGCTCCCCGGGGCAGCTTCTCGGCGCGCAGGGGATGCTGGGGCAGGCGGGGGCCTGGTGGGCAATGAACCATGGGCGTCTGTGGAGGCGGCAAGCAGCCGCTGCAGAGGGGAAGGGGCGGTCACGCCTCAGGCCCCCTTCCCCAGGCACCCCTCCAGACCCGCAAAACTTGCCTCCTGCCGCCCTGGTTTATTTTCATCCTGGCCCTTAGCGCCAGGGGAAGTGATCTTGCTCATGTGTTTTCTCGCTCACTGCTGTTCTCCCCCAGCGTGGAAGCCCCTGGAACAGAGGCTTCGCTTGTTCACCAGGGCGTGTACAGGGCTGTAGAACAGTGCTTTGCACATGTGGGTGCCTGATAAATGTCTGTTAAATGAGTGGATTCAGCCTTAGGAGCGTCCTCCTTCCAACTCCTCCTTCCTCAGTCTCAGGCTCTGAATCCATTTTTCTTCACACATACAACCCGTTCATTCATTCAGTGAGCATTTCTTGATGGCCCAGCTGCCTTAGCACACACCAGACACTGTCTCTTAACAGGCTGAGGCCACACAGGAGGCCTGGGTTTGAACCCCAGCCCACCCAAAAAGTCAGAGTAGTGATGCACACTTGTCGTCCCAGCGACTGGGGAGGCTGAAGCAGAAAATCAAGAGCTTGGGCCAATGTGGGGACCAGCAGTTGGTGTAATGGCTATGTTGCTGGACTCCCACGTAGTCGACTGCAGTTCGAGTCCTGGACCCAGTGGCTTAAACTCAGGCCAGGCATGTATGCATGCGTGCCCAAGATCCTGAGAGGAAAATGGAGGAGAAAGGATTGCGGTGTGGCCATCCCCCCGAGGGGGTGATTTCTCTCTTTCTGTCTCTATGTCTCTCTCTGTCTGTCTGGCGAGCGCACACACCCTATGGCGAAAACCTCTCCAAAAAACAAAACAAAACAAAACAAAACAAAACAAAAAAATGCACTGGACGTGTGTGTGCATGCCCAAAAATCCCAAGAAGAGAATGAAGAAGGGACTATGGCATGACCATCCCTTCTTGGGAGGGTGCTTTCTCACTATCTCTGCCTCTCTCTCTCTCTCTAGTAAGTGCACCTACATCATAGTAAAATTAAAAAAAAAAAATTGTGGGGGAGCTTCTTGTGCTTCTGTGTAACCATTCCATAAACACTTTAGGCTCAGCAGACCTGCCTCTACCCCTTGGCTAAATTTTCTCATCACACTAAGCCTCAGTTTCTTTCTCTATCAACTGGGGTTACTAATCATACTATAAAAATGTTATTTGTGAAGATTAACCAGGACAGGGAACCAGCAGTTAGCGTAATGGCTATGTCGCTGGATTCCCACGTAGTCGACTGCGGTTTGCGTCCTGGACCCGGTGGCTTAAAACTCAAGCCGGACACGTGTGCGTGTGTGCCCAAGATCCCGAGAGGAGAATGGAGGAGAAGGGATTGCGGTGTGACCATCCCCTCTGGGGGGTGATTTCTCACTTTCTGTCTCTATGTCTCTCTCTGTCTATCTGGCGAGTGCACGCGCCCTATAGCGAAAACCTCTCCAAAAAAAAAAAAAAAAAGATTAACCAGCACAATACATGTATGGCATTTTTAGTCAATGTGCAGTCCATAGGAAGTCCTCAGCTAATGAGGGACAGGATCACTGAAAAGCTAAGAGCTTGAACCAGACTGCCTAGGTTCAAAACCACGGGCAGGTTTCCTATCAGTGAACTGAGGGAGATAAGAAAACCTAGCCCATCAGTTGCTCTGAGAATACGCAAGGCAACGCATCAACTAGGGAGGCCAGGGCCCTGGTCGCCTCTTGTCTATAGTGGTGCTTAGGAGTGACTGATATTTAATGCCCTTTTCTGGCCCAGTTCTTCAGTCATAGAAGGAACCCACTTAGAAATGGAGATATCAAGGCCCCTAGAAGGACAGGGCCGCCCTAAAGTCACAGGCTGAGTGCTGCTACAAGGAGCACTAGAGCCCATGAGTCCTAACTCCTCAGTCTGCTCTTCGGTCCCAGGCCGCCACCATTACCTCCTCCTCCTCCCCTCTACTCTCCCTTCCCTCTCCTCTTGGCTCCTCGTGTCTGTGTCTGTCAGTGCTGTAGGCACTAGGGGCAAGGGGCCAGGGACCCAAGAGATCTGCTTTCTCAGTTATCAATTCCCAGGCCTGCCTCGCTGAACTGTGGCTTCCTGTTTGCCCTGGGCAAACCCCAGGGGACCTTACAGGTGGCAGGGCCCCCACTTCCCTTTGGCAGGGTTGAGGGGACAGGGAGGGGAGGAGCCAGGCATTGGGGAATGGAGAGGCTGAGCTGCAGGACCCCCTTTGCCTTTCATCCAGCAAGCACTCATCCCCTTCAGGGCTGCCCAGCTGCCCAGTCGACCTCTCTCCTTAAAACATTTCCATGCCTTTTCAGCTACTGAAAACAAAAACCCCAGGGCTAGCCCCAGCTCCCACATGGCCAACCCCACGGTTTGAATCTCCGTCCTGGTGGGCTTGACAAACATGCTGGGCGAGTGTGCACATGTACCCCAAACCCCAACAGGATGGAGAAACAGAGGAGAAAGGCTTATGGTGTGAGTATGTTCCACTGGGGGTGCTTTCTCCCTCTCCTTCCCTCTTTCTGTCTCTTCCTGGCTAGTGCATGTGCCCTCTGGCGAAAACAAAACAAAACAGAAACCTCCAAACCCTGGTCTTCAAAGGCCTAAGCAAGGGTGCTCCTACCTACAAGGGGGTCTTCAAAAGTTCATGAAAAATGCCTATTAAGAAATTAGGCACGGATTTCACTTTTTTTTGTCACCAAAATGAATTCTCATTGTAATTCCAACTGTTCCCTTGTACATTTTTGCCTCGCTGAACTGTGGCTTCCTGTTTGCCCTGGGCAAACCCCAGGGGACCTTACAGGTGGCAGGGCCCCCACTTCCCTTTGGCAGGGTTGAGGGGACAGGGAGGGGAGGAGCCAGGCATTGGGGAATGGAGAGGCTGAGCTGCAGGACCCCCTTTGCCTTTCATCCAGCAAGCACTCATCCCCTTCAGGGCTGCCCAGCTGCCCAGTCGACCTCTCTCCTTAAAACATTTCCATGCCTTTTCAGCTACTGAAAACAAAAACCCCAGGGCTAGCCCCAGCTCCCACATGGCCAACCCCACGGTTTGAATCTCCGTCCTGGTGGGCTTGACAAACATGCTGGGCGAGTGTGCACATGTACCCCAAACCCCAACAGGATGGAGAAACAGAGGAGAAAGGCTTATGGTGTGAGTATGTTCCACTGGGGGTGCTTTCTCCCTCTCCTTCCCTCTTTCTGTCTCTTCCTGGCTAGTGCATGTGCCCTCTGGCGAAAACAAAACAAAACAGAAACCTCCAAACCCTGGTCTTCAAAGGCCTAAGCAAGGGTGCTCCTACCTACAAGGGGGTCTTCAAAAGTTCATGAAAAATGCCTATTAAGAAATTAGGCACGGATTTCACTTTTTTTTGGCACCAAAATGAATTCACATTGTAATTCCAACTGTTCCCTTGTACATTTCCTCCTTCCTCTGTCCACACTCTCCTCCGGGAGGGCTCACCCTGTTCTGACTAGCCAAGCACCCTCCTACCCACAGGGCCTTTGCACTTGCTGCTCTCCCTGGCCCTCCGCTCCATTCTTAGGCTCTGCGCTTGACTGACTGCTTTCTTTCATGGCTCGGGTCTCAGCTCAAGTGTTACTTCCTCAGGGTGACCTCACTTGACCCCCCAACCTCGGTACTTTTTTGACCTCACCCCCTGTTTTATTTCCTTCCCAGCACTTGCTCCATTCTCAGATTAGGTGTGTTCGTCAGTTCACATCTGCCTCACGCACCAGAATGGACAGTCTATGAGATCAGGGGTCCCTCCTGGCCCTAGACATACCCTGGCATCTAGTCAGAGTTCAATTAGCATTTACAGAGGAAAGGAAGGAAAGATCTTAGGAAAAATGAAAGAAAACTTGATTTTCTTAGGGCTCAATGGTAGTACAGTGGTAAAAACAAACAAACAAACAGAACACTGCCAGGCTGACCCACATGGGAAGGTTCCAGGTTCATGTCCAAAGACCTCCCTGAGTTCACTGGGTGCCCACATGCTCTTGATCCAAGTCTGGCTGAAACTAGGGAGTGGATCAAGTGTCAAGTCCCTGTTGGAGGTGCTGTCTCTCCGTCCATCTCTGTTGCTTCACCCTCTTCCTCAGAAACCCTGCCACATACACAGGGAGCCTGGATTTAATTCTGAAAGCAAGAAGCTACTGGGGCTTCACAAGCCAGATTTGGATTTACCATAACTCCCCTGTCTGCATGGAAGGTGGCTGGAAGAAGGCCAGGAAGACCAGTAAGGGAAGTGCTTATTCACTCATTCATTGATCTGTTCATCAAACATCTATTTACAGTGTACCTGGCTCGGGGCTGGGGACACAGCAGAGGACAAGAAAGACAGGGCTGCTAATCTCATGGAGCTTTATTTTTGGAGAGGTTTTTGCTTGCCAGAAAGACAGAGAGAGCCAGAGAGACAGAAAGCGAGAAATCACGTGGCTGGGGGACGGCCACGCTGCAATCCATGTCCTCCATTCTCCTCTCGGGATCTTGGGCACACACGCACGCACACGCGCCCGGCGTGAGTTCTAAGCCACCAGGTCTGGGACTCGAACTGCGGTCAACTACATGGGAGTCCAGCGACATAGCCATTATGCCAACTGCTGGTCCCTATCTCATGGAGCTTTGATGCAAGCTTTTGGACTAAAGAAGAGGAGAGGGGACAGGTGATAAATTGATCGGTAATCATTTGGGATGGTGAGAAGTGCTCTGTGATTTAATGGTGCACAGGTGACGGAGGTGGCTACTTTAGACAGGATAGTCTGGGAAGGCCTTGCTGAGGAGGCAACATTTGAGCCAAGACCCCAAGTGGGGAAAATTTGGTGTGTTCAAATAAGCGCATGTGTAGTGCTGTTAGAAACTATTGTACTTCTTGGCACCAGCAGTGGTTACATCACTGAACTCCCACATAGTCGACCGTGGTTCGAGCCCCACACCCAGCGGCTTAAAACTCATACCAGTCACGTGTGCATGTGTGCCCAAAATCCCAAAAGGAGAATGGAGGTGAAGGGATTGCAGCATGGCTATCCCCCTGGGGGGGATGATTTCTCATTTTCTGCCTTTCTGTCTCTCTGGCGAGTGCACATGCCCTACAGCTGCAATCTCTCTCTAAAAAAAGAAACTGTCATACTTCTTTTCTAGCCATCAGAAAACATATTCACAGGCATTTGATGTTATTGCTCTTATTTTAGCCATTCTGAGAGGTGTGCAGTGACAGCTCCCTGTGGCTTTAATTGACATCCCTCTGATGGCTAATGCTGAACATCTCCCGCACCTGTACGCCACCTGTGGTATCAGTGAGATGTCTGTTCATTTCCAAGCCAGATAACTAGAGGTTTTAAGCAGGGAGGAGACATGATCTATATCTTGCAAAGATCACACACTCCTTTGCTCTAAGCTGCTTTGAGGAGCATTAACTAAACGGGCCAAAAGTTGACAGAGGGTAACAGGAGGCATTGTGGAATGGAAGTTCAGGACAGAGAAGGCAGGAGTTAGACTGGGTGATAGCGCTGGAGATGGAAGAAAAGGGACACGATCTGGAAGATCTGGAATATTCAGTATATTGCAGGTAGAGATTTGCAGGACAGAGATTCCAGGACTTTCAGGTTCCTGGACTGTGCTTTACAAAGTGTGAAACATGTTTGGGGGAAGGAAAATCAAGGTTCTGGACGTCAATCTGAATTGCCTGTCGCTGTCCTAGGGTGGAGGTCACACATTATGACAGTCTGACCTAGGGCAGAGGCAGAGATAAGGAGAGGGGGATTTGCTAGGCACGGGGAGGGGGTTGGAGGGATTAGCAGGAAGCTGTGACTGGTTGAGTATCAAAAGCGGGTGGCGACATGGAAGTTTCAGGCTTCTAAGACTGACTACGCGGGAACTCAGAGGTGCCCAGAAGAATAAAGCCGCGCCAGCCCTGCCCCGAGGGACGCTCCACGAGGGCGGCGGTGCAGGGAGGGCTGTAATGTGAGCCAGGCTCCAGCGGAAGGGCGGCCAGGGGCCGATCAAAGGTTGGCACCGGGCAGGAGAAGAGAGGCAGCGCGAGCGCTCCGTCCTCCCTGGCTGAGGCCGGCCGGCGTCTTAGAGGAGGAGTAATTGCAGCAGGGCTTCCAAGGTCACAGACGGACGCCCAGGAAGGCCTTTAAGAAAGAACCTCTACAGGGTTTGACTGGCAGACATCCTCACGAACTGCGCGGCCTAGAGAAAAAGGGAGGGGCGGGGCTGAGGCCGGGGCTGGGTGTCGACTCGGGAATATTCGGCCGAGGCTCGGCAATACCCCCACCTCCGGCCGGGGCTTCGAGCCCGGGGCGATCCGGAAACAGCCGAGCGGATCCGGAAATAGCCGAGAGGACCCGGAAGCGGCGAGCGCCGGCTCCGGG